TTTGGTCACATTGCTTTAATCAAATATTCCGGCTGACGCCATAACTTGTTCAGATTTAGATTTGTGGATATCTGCGTAAGATTTTGTAGACTTTTCAAGGACCTTGACCTTTTTCTTGTTGTTTATGATACGCTTTCGCAAATCACTAATTGACTTCGCGTGAGAGTAACACTCAATATTTACTTTTATAGAGTACATCGTCAAATTCTTTTAGTTTATCACTCGTGAGGTTTGGATTTGTTTTGAAACATATAACGCCTTACTCGCGTGTATCACTTCATCATAAATGACTCTGATTTGACGCTTAATTAAGCGAAGTTCGTTAACATTTAGTTTTACTGTTTTATGGTAGCAATACACAGTTAGGAAAAAAACTTTAAATTGACACTCATAATTTTTAAACACCCTCTTTCCCTTCCTTTCTACCAAATAAGGCTTAATATTTGTGTTAACCATGTGCATATTTATAGAAAGAGAATCTTCCATAGATTTGATTTCTAATGGTAATAATGGTGAAATATAATCTCTTTTTGGTGTAACCATGGCAACAATCTGCATTTATTTGATAAAAAATATTGCAAAAAAGGGAGGTGAACATGTCACAAAAGTCTCCAAAATTTGGTCCCAAGGAAAATTTCAATCAATTACAGTGATAAAAAAATCATATGCATTTCTGCTCGTTTTTCCATAAAATTGAATTGAAATGATCGAGCGTCAAATCTTTGTTGAGAAACACTACAATAATTTATGGACCTATGGGCGGTACGGATAGGAAAATACGGACTGTCAAACAGAAAAATGGCCTATAAAACATGCTTAAAACAACTTAATTGTTCATTTAAACCCACTAAGAAGGCTATATTATTCTTCAATTATCTAAAGATCAATTTTATTGTACAAAAACTTTCATATTTAAAAAACACACCATGGCCATAATGCGAAACTAAACTTCTAACTGTGTATTGCTACCTTAAGGATAAACATTTTTTCCCCAATTCCACTTTAAATGGATTTCTGTGTTAACTGCTAGCTAAAACGAGCAAATTGGCCTGCTAGTTTTGAAAATTGGTTCAGAAATAAATATTTTATGAAGGTTAGCAGTTGACACTGAAATGCAACAAAAAATTGATTTGGTGAAACATACCATGTCAAAGTGTAAATTCTCCTTTTTTAGTCAAATTTCTAAAACTATACCTTCTGTGCTTGTCTTTTCTTGTTTAAAAACTTAAATATGCATGTGCATATTTATAGAAAGAGAATTGTCCATAGATTTGATTTCTAATGGTTATAACGGTGAAATATTATCTCTTTTTGGTGTAACCATGGCAACAATCTGCATTTATTTGATACAAAATATTGCAAAAAAGGGGGGTGAACTTGTCACAAAAGTCCAAAGGAAAATTTTAATCAATTACAGTGATACCTTTCCTGAAACCATAGACATACATCTATCAAGAGGTTAAAAAAAATCATATGCATTTCTGCTCGTTTTTCCATAAAATTGAATTGAAAAGATCGAGGCTCACCGTCAAATCTTTGTTGATATACACTACAATAATTTATGGACCTATGGGCGGTACTGATAGGAAAATACGGACTGTCAAACAGAAAAATGGCCTATAAAACATGCTAAAATCAATCTAAATGTTCATTTAAATTCACTTAGAAGGCTATATTATTCTTCAATTATCTAAAGATCAATAACTTTCATATTTAAAAAATTCACCATGGCCATAATGTAAAACTAAACTTCTAACTGTGTATTGCTACCTATAGTCGTTTTTATATTTTGTTGACATCTGTCGTTAACTGTTAGATGTTGTTTCCGTATTCATCAAGTTTGTCTGTGTAACATCATGAACCCTCTTCAATTGCTAATATATTGAATTTGCATGTCATTTTTGCTTCACGTGAAACGACGCTCATAGTGTTAACTGTTTTTCCTAAGATTTCATCGTTTACTCGCAAAAATGAAATTTGACTCTGAAAGTTCCGCAACCAGTCTTTGTTTTTTTTGTTAGCTTTAATCATAAGTATGCCTGTTTTCTCTTACTGATACAGACACGGTCTTATCTAGATATTCAATTTCTTGAGTGTAGTCGACTTGCACAAGAGATGTTCAACGCATATTTTTTTTTCTATGTACACATTGAGAATCTCTTTCAAACAAAAGTTTTGAGAGAGGTTTAGTTATATTCATCTTCTGTAAACAGTTTTCGCGCACTTTTTATGTGAACGTGTATGAAGTGTCAATCTTAAATCTCGGTTTATTCTAAGAGTGATGCTAAATACCGCGCTTTTTGAGAGTTGCATTCAAATATGGACTATTTTTCATTGAGAAAACAAAATAATTACCGTTGACATACTTGAAATGTCTGATTCAGACAACAAAGGTAGGTGTGTCAGACAACATAGGTAGGTGTGTCATACAACAAAGGTAGGTGTGTCAGACAACAAAGGTAGGTGTGTCATACTAAGGTCGGTGTGTCATACAACATATAGGTAGGTGTGTCAGACAACAAAGATAGGTGTGTCAGACAACAAAGGTAGGTGTGTCAGACAACAAATGTAGGTGTGTCAGACAACAAAGGTAGGTGTGTCAGGCAACAAAGGTAGGTGTGTCAGACATATAGGAAGGTGTGTCAGACAACAAAGGTAGGCGTGTCAGACAACAAAGGTAGGTGTGCAAGACAACAAAGGTGTGTCAGACAACATAGGTAGGTGTGTCAGACAACATAGGTAGGTGCGTCAGACAACATAGGTAGGTGTGTCTCACAACAAAGGTAGGTGTGTTAGACAACAAAGGTAGGTGTGTCAGAAATATAGGTAGGTGTGTCAGACAACAAAGGTAGGTGTGTCAGACAACATTGGTAGGTGTGTCAGACAACATAGGTAGGTGTGTCAGACAACATAGGTAGGTGCATCTTACAACAAAGGTAGGTGTGTCTGACAACAAAGGTAGGTGTGTCAGACAACATAGGTAGATGTGTCAGACAACATAGGTAGGCTTGTCAGACAACAAAGGTAGGTGTGTCAGACAACAAAGGTAGGTTGTCAAACAACAAAGGTAGGTGTGTCAGACAACATAGGTTGGTGTCATACAACAAAGGTAGGTGTGTCAGACAACAAAGGTAGGTGTGTCATACAACAAAGTTTGGTGTGTCAGACACCATTGTGTAGATAAATCAATGTGATATTACGGCATATTTTAATATGACGTGCTATTTTAGAGGCCAGCTGAAGGACGACTCCGGGTGTGGGAGTTTCTCGATGCATTTAAGACCCATTGGTGGCCTTCGGTTGTTGTCTGCTCTATGGTCGGGTTGTTGTCTCTTTGACACATTCCCCATTTCCATTCTCAATTTTATTCTGAATAAACACATGCTCGAAATCCAATAAAATGTGTTTGCACATGCGTATATTGACTACTGTAGAATAATAAATTTTATCGAATTGGCATGCATTTAATATATTTCATTAACTTAGAACACTTTCAAACTCTTTAATGATGCACATGTTGTTACAATTTAATACACTTTGTTTTATATTAAGGTATGTAGGGGGGAAATTCAAAGACAAGTGCTTGTGAATTCAAATAACCATGTATGTGGATATTAAGATTAAACGATTTCTGATAAAAAGAACATTTTATTTAACCAAGAAAATAAGTGCAAGTAGTGTTCAATATAACCATAGTTGAGTACTGTGACAATTTTATTTAGGGGCCAGCAGAGGACCATCTCCGGGTGCAGGATTTTCTCACTGCGTTGAAGACCCATTGATGGCTTTCGGTTATTGTCTGCTCTTTGGTCGGGTAGTTGCCCCTTTGACATATTCCCCATTTTCATTCTCAGAATTGTTTAAAATCACTCAAAAAGGTAAATCTAACTTGTACTGAAATATTAGTTATATAATTTTCTATCTTAAAAGGAACAAAGTGACTTAAGTTTGTCAAAAATAACAGTTTAGCCTGTTTCTGGGAGACACCGAGATTTTGTTTATTCTAGAAAAATGATATTTAAGTACTTACCAAATGTTCTATTAAGGTATAAAGGAAAATTGTTTTTCAGATACAGGTGCCTGTGATTGAACTGGATTATTCATGGTACATGTTTGCCTGTCGCCGGTCTTATAGTGTCTCATTCAATAACCACGAGATTGGGAATAAATATAATATACGTTTAGATGATATACAAGTCAAAAAAACTAAATCTTCTCTAGGAAAAATTATCACGTCCCAATGAATATTGCTTTTATTGGTTTTATTGCTATTGTTATCTTTATTTCACAAAGGGTATACGACTGTTGTGCTTTTCTCATATCCCTAGCGAGATCGCGCGAGAAGTGAATAACAATCATTCTTAGTCGTGGATTTCTGCTTGGACTGGGTGATTTGTCACACTTAGAAGTCGTTGGCTTTATACAGTGTACATTGTACTCTTAAGCTTATATTATGGCTGTGTTGACAAAATGTTCCCTCCCACTCGCCTTTATTCCAGTAGTTGCTACTCTCAAGTTTGAAGTCCGATTTTAATATCTTCTCCCTAAACGTAATCTTTGTCACTCACCTTGAGTGTAATATCGCTTGGGTTAATTATTCTCACAATTACAGGACGACACTAAAAAATGAGCAGAACAGGAGTTTGAATAAAAAAATCAGGCCGGATAAGCACCCTCCCCAACCCCCACCCCCAAAATCAAAAGGTAGCTCTCTTACACTATATATATTCACGATTTCGATTATAAGAAACTCGTTTCTATGACTTTAATACTCCGGATAGTAACATTTGGCTAGCAAAAATGGAGGTTTTTTTTGGGGAGTTTATTTTGTGAAAACTTCTATCAAACTGAAAAAAAAACGAGCCAGGAAATAAAACATTTTAGGGTGCAGCTGAAATAAATCGGGGGAGGAGTTGGCGGGTATTGGATTATGAAATAAATCGGGGGAGGGTTGGGGGTATTTGCATATTTTCATAAGGCACTTATCAACAGTTACTTACCTTTTGGTTTACAAATTTGTTCTCTTCGATCAAAATAATTAGCAATTGGGTCTGGACAAAAACATGCTGTACCAATAGGACAAACCAGATGAGGAACACACTTATGATAATTGCAAGGACCTCCATACCCTACTAAAAAAACAATAAACTTTGAGGTTTAAAATGTATGGGCTCTTCATTTTATACGAATAAAGTGCCAACAGATATCTTCACTGTAAAATGCATGCATAGAAGTTTCACGAAGGGTACAAATTGGCCCGCATATTTTTTTATTTTTTTGTAAAACTTTTACTAAAATAAAACTACGGATTTGGGGATTAGTGGATGAATAATTGATTTAAAATAAGTAATTTATGTTTTCGTTGGTATCTCACATTCTCAATTATGTAACTGTTGATGTAAATGTCTTTTGGTTATATGAGTCTTTGTTTACTCCTTGGTTTTGATTGTTATTGTCTATAACCTCTAAATTATTTATTAACATGATTTATGTTGTAACGTCAGTTTTGGTCATACATTTCCTAATTTGTGTAACAGTTTTGAGCATGAATAACTTTGTTCACAATCATTTATCCAGAAAAGTGTTGCGTCGAGTGATTCAATATCAACTTTGGCACATTTTTGGTTACATGACGTTTTGGACGTTAGTTGCATAAAACCGGTCTCACTAATTAGCGGCAAGAAGAATTTTAGCAACAAGAATCGTCAAGAAGCGACAAGAAGCGACAAGAAGCGACACGAAAAATTATTTACCATTAAAATAATAGAGTCAAAGAAAATTAAAAACCAATTGTTCAGAGAACAATTGAAGGTCTTTCCACCAGTAAGGATCTTTTTTAATATAAAAATATTAAAATTTGATTTTGAATGTCAATTCCAGCGTCAAATGACAGCTTTTTGTACGCTGATTCCAAAAATATATGGTTTCTATACAAAAATAAATAAAAAAGGGAAATTTTTTTTACTTCCGGTTTATAAAATGTCACTTCCGGTATTGTTTGATAGTTTACTTGGGTGACAGCCCATTACTCAGACAGCCCACTATTCCGACCGCCCATTATTCCGACAGCTCATAATTCCCCAATGCATCTGTCTTATGTGTATGTGTAACATCCACTAAGTTCCGTCAGTTACTTTGTTCCGGCGGAACTTTTCAACTAGTTATTTCGTTCCGATGGAACTTTCCAACTAGTTGTTTTATTCCGAGTGCAGTCGAAAAGTTCCGGAAAAAGTAGCTAGTTGAAAAGTCCCGGAACAATGTAGCAAACGGAATAAGTTGCATTATCATGCAAATTTAGTGTTCATAGTACCCTCAAGAGAGGGAAGAATACCCCTCCTCATGTGGGTACTTTTAAAAATATCAATTTCAGATTAATGTATAAATAGACAATAATAGTGCATTGACTTGACATATCAACGATATAAGGATGAGGCTTAGAAACAGGGAAATGCGAGGCTCTGCCGAGCTTTTTCCCCGTTTCGGGCCGAATCCTTATATCGTTGATATGTCAAGTCAATGCACTATTATTGTCTTTATACTGCAATCTAAAAAAAAACATTTTCATTTGTTGTTTAATGTGTTAATGTTATTATTTGATTTAAATATTGGGAAACTTCCCCCTTTTATAAAAAGGCCTCATATCATGCAGGCGGGGAAATATACATAACAATGAAATGTACATTGCCTGTTGAAACCCGCAGTCGATGGTGAACGAATTTGTTTGAGAATGAACTAAAATATCAACAATAAGCATAAAACCTAATGATTTATAGTTTGCAAACCAAAAGTATTAACAAGTGAAATATGTTTTTTTTCTAAAAATTGCAAAAGAAATAAGTTTGAGTCGTTGCATACATTGGAAACAAGAACAGGTTGAATAGGTCGTATGAATAATTAATTATAATTTCGGCAATTTCTATTTAAATATTCATGAGGAAAAGTGATATCAGGTCAGTGACTGTATATGACATAGAAATATACGGTCAACGCATTTTGACTGCTCAAATAGAACGAGTGCAGTATAACAATAAATAAGAACTTACTCCGCGCCGTTATGAAGGCAACATTCTGACCGAATTAAGTACCTTAATAATGAAGAGAGGGAAGAATGAGGATCAGTATATAAGACACTTTTGTTCACCTTTGAAAAGGTTCAAAGATAATATGTTGCGCTTTTACTTTGCATCAATTCTCCAAATGGAACTTTGTGACTGCATGGTTGATAAGTTCCTGTTTTGAATTATTTGCCAAAGAGGAACTTTGTGGCTAGTTGATAAGTTCCTCTTGGCTTTTGTAATCAGTATCTTGGTTTCCTTTTGAAATGTTCAAATATAATATGTTGCGCTTTTACTTTGCATCACTTCTCCAAATGGAACTTTGTGACTGGTTGATAAGTTCCGTTGGAACTTTTGGGCTAGTTTGTTAGTTCCGGTTTTGACTAATTTGGCAAAAAGGAACTTTCTAACTAGTTGATATGTTCCGTTGGAACTTTTCAACTAGTCACTTTGTTCCGGTGGAACTTTTAAACCAGAAGAAGAACAAAGTAACTAGTTAATAAGTTCCTCCGGAACTTTTCGGCTAGTTAGTTCTTTCCGCCCGGAACTTTCCAACGTCGGAACAAAAGAGCATTTACATATGCACGGTAAATTTTCTCTAAAAAGACGAACTCCGCTCTCTATAATATTTGTGGTTGTCCGTTTTGATTCCAATTATTCTTTTCATGCGGGATATTTGTCTCATTATATTGCAGATACACAGAATAGATTCAGTATTATATAAAGCAAATCATATGCTGACCCTGCCGGATTTGATGAAAATAGTTTGATGAGAATCTGTACAAATAATTCCCTGTATAACGTAATTCGAAATCTTCATAATTATATACATATACACGTGTGTACAGAGTGTATTTGCGTATGCGGTATGCAAATAATTGTTACGTATACGTTATGATTCCGTTTATTTTTTTACGAAATTCGAAGTCTATCCAAACGGAAATAGTTTTGTTTATATGGGTTTTTTTTTCTTAATTCTGTAAAAACATATTTAACGATTTCTGATATGGGTAAAGCCAAAAAGGTGCTCCAAATTGGTCAAATAACCATCTGAAGCTTAAATCCCAATTTTAAAATATTTAATATATGTTATTTGATTACAACTTGTTATTGAGCATCAGTGACATGATGAAGTAGAAGATTTGATAAATATCAAATATCCGCTAATTCAATGTGTCTTGTTATTGAAGTTTGTCAAACGTAGATCTGTACGTTCCTGTGTCCCAAGCGTGACATGGAAACCCCCTTCTAACAAAAAATATACCTGGTTGTTTTTATGGGCAAAAGAAAAACGGAAAGTAAGTTAAATCGTCAGAAAAGTGTTGTTGCACTATAAATCCGTCAAAGTTTTGCGTGAAATGCAGTAAAATTAATCAAAGAAACGATTATTTCGACAGGGTTAGTAATGTTATATTGACAATAGACTACTATGGTAAAAATAACGCACGGGGTTTTCCGCGATATCGTCATCTGCGGAACATTTGATTGGTTCCTGTCATATTCATGCGCTGTCGTATCTCGGCTGTTTCAAATAGTTCTAATTTTGGTTTCGTATTCCGTTTTATGAGAAGCATAGAATGGCAAGTTTGTAATGTCAAAATAACGTATAACGTACGTAAATGTTTATTCCTTATTATTAACGGAAAGAGTTTATCCAGGGAGAACAAAATACTTTGTTTCATTTCAAAATTGCTATATATACGAAACTAAATGTAAGCATCACTATCATTCATGGATGAAAATGGAAGAAGAACTCGATGGTAAGTTTTTAGCAAAATGTCAAACTAATAACGACCAGGGCGTCAAACAAAGTATAACGACCAAACCATTCTGTCAAATTGACACTGTTTTATATAATTTTTGCCAAAATAATATGCTTAGAATGATAAGAACTAACGAATATAACGCATTCAAGCACCCAAGTCAAACCATTCGTTCACTTTTTACGGTAACATCGATATGACCGTTACTTGACCAATTTTGTCAACCCAGTCAATATAACACCTAGGATGTAAATGATCTTTGTAGAGATATACTGCACCATTCTTTTCATTTAACTTCTATTTCAACTTACAGATAATAAAGGGGGAAAGTTAATATACATTTAAAAAGGGTGAAGTAATTTTCAGTGCTTTTTCACAGGGTGTTAGTTGACAATTATATGCATAGTCAATATAACCAGGGTCATTAAGAGAGTTAGTTGACACCTTAATGTAAGGGTCAATATAACTCCTACTCCCTCAGTAGTCCTAAAGCTACTATTACTACTGAAATATGTTGACTTTGGCTTTTAGCCTACAAAACTCTTGTACAATAAAAAAATTAAGCCTTTTAATGAAATTGTAAGCATATTTCCTGCTTCTTTGAAATAGAGCATAAGTTGACAACTAAAGGATTCAAGTCAATATAACCATGGTCCAAAAGAGAGTTAGTTGACACATTAATTTTATAGATGTAAATACAGCCTTTTATCAAAAGAACATCAACAATAAACAAGAAAACAGAAAATTGTCACAAGACTATAACATGCAAATTTCTGTCTTGAGACGGTGCAACAAGTTTGTTTTTAAGCACTCAACCTCCCCATACCCTTGAATTTGACAATAAAAACATGAATGTAGACACAATGCAAATCAATGTGAAGTGGTACTTATTTCCAATGCTGTTTTCAACATGGATAACATACAACATCATAAACATAAGAAGATGTGGTATTATTGCCAAAGAAACAACTCTCCACCTAAGACCTAAAGAAGTAGAAAAAACCAATAATAGCCTATAAGGTCACGTTATGGCCTTCAACATGGAGCCTTGACTCACATTTTCATTCATTTCAATTTAAAATCATGTATAAAACTATTTTAACTTTATTTATTTGCTTTTCAGATCTTTGAGATAAATCAACTGAGTATGAACAGTGGAATAGACAGCAGAATGAACTTTAAAATGTTTTTAATTTGTTTAAATAAATGATTTATGGTTTGATTCTTGAATAGTGGTTTAATTATTAGTATTGTCATACATTAATCATGTTAATGTGTTTTATACTTTACTTTCAAAAGTGTTGATTTAATAAG